CACGCACGCACGCACGCAGTGTGTGTGTGTGTGTGTGTGTGTGTGTGTGTATGTGCATACACATGAATATCCTCATAAGTGGCCTTTTATTTTGTAAATTAAAGAAGGTAGACTTAACCATAGATCGCCATACCAAGGTACGATGTACCCAGTGCGATTTTTCACATTGCTATAACTTTTTGCAAAAGAAATTTCTTTAAATCATTATAACTACTTGAAAAATATTTTAAATAAAATATTTTAGGTTTAATTTTTGTTCATCTGTCTTTGTCTTACTTTGAGATATCTATTTTACATCTTGTGAACTGTGAACTAAAAAAATGTGCCTTCAGTTCAGAGATATAGCGACAAAGATTCCACAAACCCCGATGTGGCGGGAAAGATAATTAAAAATAGGTATGGCGAGTTAAGGTTTAACAAATATAATATCAAAAAATTAAATAGTTCTAACTGAACTCTATTACAAGTACAGTGAAAATCTATGCTTATAAAACTTATTTATGTTGAAGAACGAAGAGATATACAATTTTTTCATGGTAACGTGAATATTTCAAATATAATAAAAGTTCCAATATTTTTGTAAATAAATGTAACAATGTATGATATAATAAAATCATTTTATAAATTATAGAAGTTATTTATTTGAAATTTCATAGGCAATTACTACTTTTTGGCCCTGCAACATGGCCAATTTCTCATTCTCGCATTAGCTATTTGACTATGATTATAACAATATATTATTATAGTTATTAATTATTAATGTGAAACTTGGAAGTTGGTTATATTGCAAAACCGAAAATGAAAAGATAATAAGTTTCGACAAAACTTGTAATTTGTAAAATAGTTCTGTTATATCATATATCGTTGTATTCGAAGGAAGAACACTATAACTTTTATAAGAGCAAAGTATTCACGCCGTTGGCACGAAAAATTATGCATGTCTCCCCATTCTTTAACATAGATAATTTTTACAAAAAATCATTGAAAGCTTACGAAAGTTTCACTCGAATTATTTAGTTTGATATATTTGTTAGGTTTGTCTCCTTTAGCTTAAAAATAAGAAGGAGATGACTTATACAGGACATCTTATGTAATGTGTGTATATGCATGCATGCGTGCGCGCGCGCGCGTGTGTATGTCTATATATGTATAAATATACACACACACACATGTACATTTATGTATGTATTTATACATAGAGTATATATACATGTATGTATATATGTTTGTATGATGTATGTCTTTGCATAATATATTATCATTATCATTCCCTTTATGCAATATTTATAAATATACAAGTCAATGTTTAAAGAACAATAAGCTTATGGCTCCAATTATGAATTTTATATGTATATGTATCTATCTATCTGTCTGTTTATGTATCTATGTGGATGTACAGTTATATATTTTATTTAATGCTATATAACTAAATGATTTCAATAATCATTTTAAATCCATTATTGATAATTATCTAGCTCATATCCCCTTCCTATTTACTTATGCCCATAGAAAGAATGATTATAAAAATTTTTATTTGTAGCAGACATCTTTTCCTTCAATTAAATGGCGGGAACGCAAGATTTGTTTGAAAATTTTTAAATCGATTGTAACATTCTAAGATCTGTTGGTTCATTTCTCCATTACAAAATTTTAATATTCATTAAAACTTCCTGTTTTAATCACATTTTTCAGAAAAATGCAGGTTTTTCAGCGTTTCACACAAACGCCTTTTTTTACCATACAGAACTCTTTACCGTACAGAAATATGTACTGTGGTAAATAATCGAGATTTTTCAAGATGACAATTAAAATGATTTGGAGAAGATTCTTTCATGTGCGTCTACGATTGAACGATCAATATTCCTAATAAATTATTTAAAACATACTATATAGTAAATACATATATAGTAATTATATGGTAAAATATTTCGCGCATGGCGAAAAAACGATTGAAGAGACGCTCATACATTAAATAAAAGATCCGAAAAATATTTTAAACGAACTAACATTTACATTGTTTTAAGAAAGCAAACGCCAGTATATTCTATTTTCTCTCAAAAGGCACGTAATAATAAGTTCTAAATTTCAAATTAAATGAGTCTAAAGTAGAAGACAATATATATATATATATATATATATATATATATATATATATATATATATATACACACACATAATATATATATATATATATACTACA